ATGAAGATTAATCCTTACTAAGAGTTTTAAATTTTTCTATTTTTTTTAATAGACATGCTGGTCTTGTCTGCCTTTGCGGACGTGCGATATATAGAAAGCTACTACCAGAAATAGGAGTATACTTGAGCTATGACTCATGGCAACGTTTCGCCACCTTCTTACTAGGAAATGCGATTTTAGAATACCCAACGTTTATGAGAATGAAAGATGCCCTTTTGAATGAAAATTCTGTGGATGCTATGAAATTATTCTGATCCAATTTTCTGGCGAATTTTGACCCTGTACTTGTCACTGGAAACAAAAGAAACCTAGCTTTGTTCCTCATAGCAGAAGGAGTCCTGGTCCCTGGGGATAATGATGGGACGTTTAAGATTTCCTCACCTTTAGTACGCTGGGTGGTCCTTCAGCAAATAATTCCTCATGTATTTCCGACTTCACCTAAAGTAGATGTTCCATACCATCCTTCGACGGGTACCTTAGACATCCTTGAGGTCTTAAAACAAGTTATACGTGTATTTGATCAAGAAACAATAAAATCTTGTAACTCTTTTAAGCTAGCACATGTACTTGTTAGCAATGCGAATAATCAGGAGGTTCCTAAAGAATCGGTGTATGATGCAGAACTTTACCGGATTATGTCAAATTGGCTTGGTAGATTTACAATAACGGGACAATAGTACCTAAAATATCGTGCTAGTGGGTATATAAATAATAAGTATATCGACATAGTTATATCACGACCTGATCATCCAACAATTGCTCTTGAACTTTTAGCTACAGCTACAAAAAAAGAGCTTAAGAAACACTATGAACGGGCACTTCTATATGACAAGAAACTACCTGTAGATAAGACATGGGTTGTTTATTTCACCTGTTGCGAAGGTGCCATTTCAGAGCCATACTGGCCAACTGAATCTTAATTGCAAAAGGATCTTTGAGTTGTATACTTTTGGCACAATCTAAACTTTACAAAAATTAATGCAATTGCATGTTGGTGGGATACAAATAATAATACGAGTCATGTTACTGATGTCAAGAAATGGTGAATATTTCTTTTATTGCTTGCTTAATATTTCCGTTTTTAACAGCCTTTACTCGATTGCAGGTCTCGCAAAAGTTAGAATATAACAAATAGGATTAGAATATGTCAAATGTATTTGTTTTTTTGCCCCTAAGTTATGTAACATAGCCAAAGAAATGTGGTACGTATTTGCAATTATAAAGCAATAATAAAGCAATAATAAAACTGCCCTGGTGGCTCAATTTCACATAAATAATCAGTTTACTTTTGCGTGTATATTTCATGAATTTATTTATTTTATTGTAGTTATCGATGTATATTAACTCACATATGATCAAAGA